AGACATGCGATTATCCCAGAATATTCACGATGACATTGACACATCCGCAGCTTTGTATATCAGATTATTAAGCCTACATAATTAAATCACAAACAACATATTCTAATGTGGATTGCAAAATTGTAAACCAGTCACCTTTTTCATTACATCCACACATAAGCCGAGAAATTGATGATGAGAGTCACTGTCAGCAAGGAGAATACACTTTCATTCTCTTGTTTTCCACACCCTTAACGTGAGCGAAGTCGGGTCATGAGAATGGTTATAGTTTGCACATATGTTGATTCGGCGTACACCATACCTGACTTAAACGTCACTGATCTATCCAAGCCCTGAGAAAATCATTACCGTGAACAAGATATTATGCTGTACTCATAACATTTTTGCCATACTTTACTAGGATTAAATGCCCTTCTATATGCCTCCAATATGTCACATCTGATGTATGATTATATTCATGAGACATGGAATCAGATTCTTCTTGAAGGGTTTGGTATTTGCAACATTGAGTAACTTTTCTACAAACTAACATTGTCAATCTCAAGCTCCATTACTGTGACTCAGTTCATGACATTTGACAAGAAACTTTGTAGAATTTGAGTAGACAGGGAAGTAGCACCTCCCAACAAAGTAACTTTCTTCAAGTTGTATTGTAGAAAATTCTGATTGATCTTTATCGTCTAGTGCAGTTATGTGAAGCTCACCAATGATAACATACTACTCCAGTTCCTTATCTTCAAAAACTTATTCCACCTATACTAATGTTACTCCTCGTGTCATATCATTAATCACATAATGATCAAACTCTCATTCAATGACATCCACAAGAATAAATTGTTCCTTGTTAGTATGGGGAGCTTGAAAACTCTCTTCATCTTTCAATGATATAGGCTCATCAAAAGTAACAACTCTACTGACAATAACCTGATAGGCTACTGGACACCATAGCCTGTGATACTTCACACCACTAACATATATATTTCAAGACAACGGCACTTCTTGGATGTAGGATCTAACTTAATATTATTTTGATTGGATATGAGAGTATAAAAAATACAACAAAAAATTCTTAAATAACTATAATCAGCCATACATTTATGTTACAATTCAAACATGTGAAAAAATTTATCGCACTAGAAAGAGAAATGTTTTTTAAAATAAATTGTGGTGTTGACAGCTGCAGCATAAAATCAATATGATAAATCTGATTAGCTCAACATACTCTTTACTTTCTCCAATATTGATGGATTGAGCTTCTAAAAAATAACATTCTATTGCGGAGTATAAACCGTGATGAGATGATGAATAATACTCTCCTCTTTGTAGTAATTCCAAAAATCCTTAAAAGTATGCATCCCTTCATTATACATACGTTAATATCTCATTTTGTGTGTGGTCTAGGTCTCAACTTGGATTCTCAAAATTTTGAAAATTAAAAAAAACTCAAACTTGTGGGTGAAGAAATAACTCACGCATACCTTGAGTAATCATCAATGAATGATACATTTTAAAACTTACTAGAGTGTGAGGCATTAGAAGAGGATTTCCACATATCACTATGTACATATTCAAGTAGCTTTTTGGAATTATGAGTTCCAACATCAAAGTCTTGCCTATGCTACTTGCCCATGATACAATGTTTGCAAAACTCTAAGTCAATTTTACCCAAATCAGGTAACAAGTTGTTCTCTTTAAGTGGACATGTACTTATCACTGAACTAGCCTAAAATGTCATACATAAAACATTTCAACTTAAAATCTACTATAATTATCTTTCCCACATATGATATTGCTCTTTAGGAAGTACAAACTATTGCGTTTATATACTCAAAGTATAAACTTATCATGTATTTTAACTTGTAATACCATTTTTAGGAGACCACACTAGGCCATGTGATTCTAACATTACAAGAGAGATCAAAATCTTTCTCATGTCAGGTGAAACCTAACTTGGATTAATGTACGTTTAACCTTGTCAAACATGTTGATTTACAGAGATGTTACATCCTAAATTAGGGTTGATCAATTCTTATGGAAATTGATCTGTTTGATTCCCTAAAATTCCAATAGATATAATAAAACCTGAACCATTTGATCTTGAGAAAATAAAAAAGAACACTTTAATGTAATATGTGTGATAATAACAAATACTATAAAAATCCATACATCACCAATAATCTTTGATGTATTGCATAGGACATATTTCATCTTTCAACAAATCATTCTCCTTGAGGTTGAAATTTTTTTTCACATTCACCAACTGAGTATCTCCGTCTTTGATCTTCACACGATAGTACTTCTTGATATGAACACTCTTGTTTCTTATGAAAAGTTCGAGCAATAGAATGAAAAATCATGAGAGCAGAAAATTACAAACAACAACAAAACAGTAAAAGAAATGAGGTATGTGGTACGTCCAAATAGGCACTACATCCACTTGGAAGAAAACTCTGATATACCGAAAGTTCTCATCAGGCAAAACAAAGGATGTAAATAGGTTTATAATGGCAACACTAACCTGGCCACTAACTACAGTAAGCAAATCAGGGATTAACTTGAAATCCGAGTCAAACCCTAACAGACTTGCTTTGAAAGTAGGAGATTGTCATCGCATCCATCACATATGATTATCTTATACCCAATTCTACCATTCTTCATAATAGCAAATCTATTATGTCAAACTCTCTAGGTTGAAGAAATTATTAAATATTGAGTTTTTTATCCAATTACTAATCAAATCTAAATCTAATTTCAGAACTTCTAAAACAAAATCGAGTAGAAGCTTAAGGTTTGAAATGAAGAAGGTGATACACGGGAGAGTTTTATAAAAGATCTTTCATTTTTTTAAGCTATTCCGCAAGTTACTAAAATCTCAACTTTCATACTTTCTCTGATCAGATTGAAACAAAATTCTCGCGTATCTGGCTATACTAATGCTCGCACAGCCAAAGAATGGAGCGGTGCAGTTTGGACGACTCCAAGTGAGCACTCCTAATACACTTGCCGTGTGGTTGGACGATGACGGAAGCAACATACAGTCATTTAATAGAAATCTAGTAACAGGGTGGGGGCAAACCGAATGAGCAAGGAACTTGGATTGCACCCAGTCGAGAAGGTTATAATTCCACAATACAAGGAGAGTATCTTTTAATATCTTTAGAAATAAAAAAATAAAGCGTAAAATTTAATGAACGATAATTATAATCCATGTCATGCTGATTTCAGAGTTTCAAGATCATGATAATTCTACGTGGAAGCCCACAAACTTCGAACTTCCAGAAGCCGAGATGGGAAGACGGCCACTGGCTTGAGAGGAATCGTGAGTAGAGTGTTCCGAGACAAACGCTTACACTGATTTGTCACACAGTTTTTATTTAATCTGACATCTCTCGAGCTTGGGGGTTAAAGGGGAGAAGACAACTTTAAATGACGTTGTAATAATTGCAAGTTTTTGACGTATACAGATTAAGGGTTTAAAATAAGATTCAAAAATTTATAAATATGATTCAATTATTTGCAAAAGTTTCAAACAATATAAGCTTGCAAATCAAGATACATGTAATACAATGTTCTACTCTAAATGGTCTGTTTTGGCATCATGGAATTTAAAATGTTTTTGCTCTAGTCTAAGTGAGGTTGAAGATACTATGGCACTAGATCCAAGTTCATAGTCATGAAAATTTTGTTGTAGAACCTGTAGACGACACTTGCAATCTTGACCCTGAAGGTGGGAAATTGAAAGTTCACCCTTGTGATGATTGAAGTCAACTGCATGTTGGTACTGACTTTGACATGGAAATCCAAATACACACGACTATATGATATCGGGATTATTGGTGAAACTTTCTGCCTTTTTCTCCGTAAATATGTTTGAAGTGTACGAATAGTATCATGTGAAGTTGACACTAGATTTGTAACATCATGCTTATTCATATTCTTACATTTTCCTCTTGAGTGCAATTCTACGTGGGGAAAAACCAATTATTGCCAGTCGGAACGCAAAGTTCTGATGATCAGATTTAGCACAGAGCAGTGTACAATTGTTAGTGAAACTAAGGTGCCTCTTGGTGTCATCCACTTAATTTTTCTCTTCGCCAAGAGGGTGACATGTGACCAGGGTGCTCCATTCATCAAATTCCATCGTAGTAAGATTATGGCCCACACCAACTCCCATTTGAATATGAGTGTAGTGATTATAGTGTATATACACCCAACACACACCCACGCAATTTTAGTGATATACACCCAAAAAATGTCACGCTATACATCCAATAAATATCACGGTTTAAACTGCGTGGGTGTGTGTTGGGTGTATATACACTAAAATCAATATCACCTTATTCTATTGCCTAAGTTTATGTATTTATATCTCTTCACCTTTGTTTGGAAGCTATGACAATATAATTTGTTGCACCGCGAATTCAGATAATTCGTTGAAGATTTAATATTCTTGATATCGTGAAGTCCTTAGCACAGAATAATATTTACTTAGAAGTTCCTAACTTTTAGTGTGATATCTTGAACCTAAGAAAGCTATTTTGTCTACGGGTACAATCTAGCATTGCATATACAGTACTCTGAAGCCCTGTAAGCCGAGGATGCAGACCTATTAGGGTAGGACGACATACGAGGGCTAAAGCTAAAGATAATTCCCTCCGCTCAAGGGAATCCCGCTCGCTAAGACAATGCTATATTGGTAAGAGCCAAGACGGGACTTAAGGAAAGAGTACGGAAAGTTCACCATCATTTGTTGTGCAGACTGAAGTCCCAAAGGTAACCTGCGACGAGACTTAGATCCAGTCAGATCACTGAGGAACCAGAAACGAACGAGGTGGTGGCCAGCAGCCAATCCGAAGCCTTTCGTCAACGTGAACAATTCGCTCGGCTCATGAACTCCGGGGCAACTGTGCAGAGGAATCGTCGTGGCATAATACCACAACTAGTCCGTGACGTCGCGGGAGGTGTCACGTAAAATGTTAGAACGGGCCGCGCCGTTCCCTATCCACATCCGCGGGTTCCAGTAGAGGAGATGGCGTCCCGCCCATCAGCGTGCCAGTCTACGACGAGAAACAGAGTCTTCGGAAGACGACTGGGACGCGAATGGAAGAATCTCTGGATGGATTGAAGTGTATGAATTGAGAGCCCTGTTCGTTATTGGAGAGCGCGAGGCTCGCTCAAGGTCCCAGGATTGTCGACAGGGCGTGGACATGGCGCTCGCAGGGACAGCGGTGGCAGTCCATGGACTGTCCGGAAGCCTCGTGGGTTGTGAAAATTTTGGGTCGGAGCAGGTCTCGTGCTCTCGCGGTTGTGCCTCGCAGTCTCGAATTCTTGCGTGTAGCAGATTCGGGTGCTCCGCTGCACTCTCGTCCGGCTTGCGCCTGAGGGAGGTAGTTTCTCGGAGCAATCGAAGGAGGGACAGATTCGCCGTCTTTGCTGCGGATGAGAGGAATGATACTGAGAGCAGTGGGTCGTCAGAAGCGGATGTGGAAGCGCTCGAGAGTCGACTGGGTTTAGGGAGGAGGCAGAGACGAGAAGGCGGGTCGGGGGAGCCCAAGCCTAGACCTCCGCCTCCTTCTCAACCGCAGGTGGAGCGGAAATGGGAGGATATGAGTTTGCTCGAGCAAGCATGGTCCCTTTACATCGGAGAGAAAGGATTTCTGTTCTGGCTTAACAAACTCGCCTACGCGTCCATTTTTGGTCTTATTGGAGGATGGATTGTTTTCAGATTTGTCGGTCCCGCCTTGGGCTGGTACGAATTGGACAGCCCTCTTCTTCCCCCGGATCAGCTACTCGGCTGAGGTTTTGTTAAAGCTAAGTACGCTCAGTTGCCAAATTCCAACCACCGATTGAATGCATGTTCAGATGGATAAATTCGTGAGGCGTGTTTAGACCTCTCTGTAATTTGTTAGAAATATTCTCATCAGATGTAAAGCTGGCAGTTGCCCTCTGGGTTGATTGTGCAAGATGTGCTTTTCTGTTATGGCAAGCTTTTGTAGTACGAATTTGCTCATTAGCAAATTAGAAGTCAGAAGCTGTAGGCTGAGTTCGAAGAGAAATGATTAGAAGCCGTAACCTTTTGGACTCGATTGAAATGTCAACGTACTGCTCATAATGATTGTATAATACAGTTCAAAGTCTGAAGTGTCAGCACTAAGCCCTGCTTTTCCTGATATCATTCCGTGGAATGTGAGTGAAGGCTGTTTCAAATGTAAATGCCTATTTGTGGGTAGGTAAAGCCATGGTGTCTTTTGACAACTAATGGAATGGGAGTGGTCTACACAAATCCCCCTCTCTGTTTTCCCTCCCCTTGCGGCAACTAGCAGAAACGTATGCACCTCGGTCCCTATTGATGGAGCACCTGAATTATGTGATGGCAAAATAATAACTGAGTCAGATGTGGATGTATATAGTTCCTAGAACTGGTCTGATAAGCCATTTGAGCCCTTACTGCTTTCTTTTGTGTTTGCTTTACCTTGGGTTCCATATAATTATACATCCATAGCTTTCACCTCTCGGACTTACTCAGACGGTTTGGACCATATTTGGTAGCTCACTTGTTACTTTTTGTTTTCTTCAAATCTTTTTCTCTGCATAACTGTAAGATTTGAAATGCATTAAGCCTTTGTATCTGGTGCTAGCCTAATGAACGACATGTCTCATGATAGATGAGTGGCAACGCAGGAAATGTTCGACTTCTTTCATCGAGTTATGTGTAGATCTCTCATTTGTCTTGTTACCAAAAAACACTAATATCATTAATATCTTTGGAGCTGTACAACTCTGCAGTTTTCTACTCTCATCAGTTCAGTGTCAGTGGTCCCTTTATGGCCTCACGTGAAGCGCAGCCCATGTATTTTACACTCTAATTTGATGTCACTAGAACGCGGCGACACCACATGTTAGCTCGTATGAATGGTTTTAACAGGTTTAAACTAATATTTTTTAAGTCTGGATTTTTCATCTGCGGGATAATAAGGTGCGATCATAGCTGAAGCATAGTCTTCAAGGAGCACAGATGTGTTTGAAATAACTGAATCGATTAGCATGGAACTTCTGAACTGAAAGTTTGTTGACAACAGCATATTAGAACAGCAAAGCTGAAACTTTGCCCTACATAACTATCCTGAATTAGCAATAGTAGAATGTAGAATTGCACGTAAGTGGATATTTTTCCTCTGGACTCTAATCCAACTAGTATGTCGAAATGTAAATTCGTGTTTCGTCCAAGTGGTCATTGTATAAAATATAGTCGATACTGGATCATAACATTTTCTCTTCTAACCAATATTTCTTAACTTCTTAAGAACGAATTTGGTTCAGTTTATCTGCATTATAGTTGTATGACAAGTTCATATTTGAATTCTTTCGATTCATGAAACACTTGAGTCAAATTTATCGATTTATAAATTATAATTCGAAAACTATCGATTATAAAATATTAAACCAAAAAGCCATATTTGAAAATTCAAGAAGCAGAATGTGATACGACCCAAAAAAATTCAATAATCATCATTTTCTGAAACTACAAATAGAGATAAATCTGAACCACTCGGGGTCTAATTGTAGGATAAGCAGGTGTTGATAATGCGCTAATGAGTTTTCCTCTGGCAACTTTCTTACTGTAGAATAAATGTATCACAGAATATATAGGAGCCATAATAAGTGATTACACATGTAATAGTTACCATTACTTTATACATTCACCAAGATGAAACACATGTTACTCACAGAATATTTCTAAACACATCATCACCACCTTCGAGCACACATTTCATGTGTAAAAATAATCGTCTTGTCACGCAACATGCAGCCAACAATAACATGGATGATGATTCACTTTAGATGTAGAATTATGCAGCATGTAATATTTTATAATTTACTACTCGGAAATGTTCAGCCTGTACTTATAAAGATTAATAATGTACTCGACTCAATCATTACAAATACTATTTACATCTATTAAAATAGATGCACTTGTTACAAGTAAATAAGATCACACACATAAATATCATCAAATGAATCATAACAAAAAAAATTTATTTTTAGTAGTATTTGAGTTCTCAAACGCCATAGAAATCACTTTGCTCTATTAATCTATGTACTCTAAGAAACACTGTAGTCCCGACGAATATATGTTTTTTGAGATCCAACATATTCAAAAATAATCCAATTTTCAACAAAAATGTCTTGTTTCATATTCGTTCATGTGAGTTGGATACCTACCAATACCCATGTAATAAAGTAAAATCCGTGAAATCAATGTGTTGATGCATTTTGCTCTAAAATATTATGATTGAAAATTTTTATTTGTATTTTTATCATGAGAACATGTCACAATATATGTGTATTTTGTAAGTCTACCAATTATCAAATATCATGAAAATTAATCACAAACTGATGTCATTTGAGAGCACAACCTAATTCTAGTTCATGCTATTGAAGAGTTAACACAATAAATGCATGATTTGGCATCCAATGAATTTAACTACAAATAAGGAATAACTTCAAATTGAGCTAAATTTGAGCTCAATATAGCTAGGATGGTCACCCGGGCTGGGGTTAAATACCCATGCTTCTGCCCTGGACAACCGTACACTTTTTCACAAACTTGGAGTAAAGTGGATCATGTTATTTCCTGTCTCGTGTGTTGATACGGATTCTCATTGTGTTTCGTCATTGATAATTATCAATTTAACCTTCGTTACAGCTAAGCTACATGTAAGAAACACCGAAACTAATCTATTATAATCTTAGATTTTGTCATATAGAGCTACTATCAACTCTCTTATATTGTGATAAGCTATACATCTTTGACTAATCATAATTAAACTAGCAAAAGATACCAAAATTTGAATTTATTTCTAACAATCTTTCTTTGAATCATGTTTTGAAAACTATTGTTTCAACAATCAATATGATTATATAAGAGAAAAAAATAAAATAAATTTAGAATAGATTAACAGATTTTAATATATAAAGTAGAGTTAAATAAAATTTGTCGTATTTTGATATAGCGAATATATATATAAATATATATATAGCTAATTATTTATAAAGTATCGTAATTGCTAGTTTATTTTATTTATATCCATATGCAAAATCTATTAGAGTTTAACTCATGTTATGCATGGATAACTCATTTTAGCTTAATCCCGGGTAGTTAAACGAATTAGTCCGTCACTATATAAGAGAATTAACCGAAGCTCCCACTAGCACACTCCTAGAATTTCCTCTGAGTTAAGTATAAGTTTCCGTGTACCTAATCCAACAACGCGAACTACGTATATTCTCCATATTGTTAATGTGTTTGCTTCGCTTCCTCATTAGAATGTCCAACAATTGGAAATAGAGTCAAGAGATGTGAGAAATGCAAATGTATATTCTCCATATTGTTAATGTGTTTGCTTCGTTTCCTCATTAGAATGTCCAACAATTGGAAATAGAGTCAAGAGATGTGAGAAATGCAAATGTTTGCCCTACATGTTCCCTGCTACCAACGCATGTTTCTGAAGCTCATATCATAGTAGATGATAAATGAGCTTGTCATCATAATGAAGAGAGGAATGGAATGAATGTGAACTTGCGGAAAAATTGTGAGTAAAAAGAGTATTGAGGCAGCAAGAAGTCTATTTGGAATGATTGTGAGATTTGACTTCAAAATAAACAAAATTTATGCGTTTGAGTTGGTAGACCAGAAGAAAGATTGGCAGAGATTAAAGTGTAGAACAACTGTATGAAGGCAAAGATAGAGAAAGTACAAAACGCTACACTTAAAGCTCATCGAGATGTTTTCCAAAATGTTGAGAATGTTTAAGGTTCTGAGGGAGTGTGCCAACATCTTGTAACAACACCACGAGCCACTTACTGAAGATGTGGATGGATGTAACCATCTTTAGTTAGTTAAAACTAAAGTAGAGGTTACTCTGAATATGATTGTAGATACTTTAGTGTGCACTAGTCATAGCTGCCACATCAGCGATCCGCGCACTTGGTAGGTACAGAGTGGATGTGTTAGTTGACAGTGCCACGTCAGCAATCCGTGTGCTTGTAGGTAAAGATTGAGTGTGTTAGTTAGTGTGTTAGTTGGGTGCGCCACGTCAGCAATCCGTGTGCTTGTTAGGGTTATCCGCCACGTCATCCATCCACTAGGAGTGGGATGGATGGTGGGGATTAGATCTTATCACCTTGTACTTGTTGGTGAGAGCTATATAAGGGAGAGGAGAACCATTGTTGGTATCTCTCATCTTCAGAGTTTACGTTTCTATCTTCGAGTGAACTTCTCTCTAAACCCTAGTGTTACAATGGTATCAGAGCGACCTTGCTCTTTCCTTGAGTGTGAATTACCCCTCATGGAATAGCAAGTGAGTGATGATGGAGTGTAGTCTTGAGAGTGTATAGAGGCTGGCAAAGGTCATTCATCTGCATGTAGAGAGAGGTGGAAGGGGGAAATTGTGTTTTTGCAGATATGGACGGGATTGACAGGAATCCAGTACCGCACTGGCCAATTCCTAACCTATTCGATATTCACCTTCGTTGCATGGAGAAACATCATTTTCGGATGTACCTTGTGGCTTGTTGGGGTGCAGATTTTATGACTAGAGTGATGGAGTCAAGAGTGCCACTGATTCTTCCAATAGTTACTTATGGAGAGACTTGGGATTGTACTATATACATTCTATATTGATTGTTTCATGGATTTGAATCGCGAACCACCTGTCCCGGTTCGATTCAGCACTTATGTAGAGATTAGAATAATATATAGACAGAAGAGGATATGTAGAGATTTTCTTGTGAGGAATTATGGAGAGGAGTACTATAGAGCTGTGATAAAGTCACCTGCACCTTTTGTGACTCCTTTGTTGAGAGGTCACATAGTGATTATACTCACTTTGTATTAGAGGGATTGTGAGAAAGCATGGGAACATCAATTGATATGGGTGAGGTTCTCAATGCAATCATGGCGGAGATGAAGGAGTTGAGAAAAGCAATAGTAGATGGGCATACCAAGCAGCAAGCCATGGAAGATAAAATCTTCGCATTAGAGAGTGAGAAAGTAGAGAGAGAGAGAGTTGGAGAGATGGAAGTTGAACCTCAAGTTCAAGCTTCCCAAGTTCAGCCAAAACCAACTCTTATTGATGCAGCAGAGGCAAAT